TAAATTCATTAGTGGTATATATTCAATACATTGAATAATTTTTTCCATTAAAATTCCACAAGATGTGGCTTCCCCCTTCCGCTCGTTCTACAGTCGGCTAAATTTTAGTCGAACACCCCAGCATTGCATGTTGCGCCCTCCCTCTCTTGGGGTGCAGTACTACGATGCCGCTGGGGTCACTTAAACCCCCAAAATTGAGCGTCTACTTTAGTCAATCCTCTTTGGGTGAGCCGAAGGATGCGTTCTCATGTGAATATTCATGACGGCGGGGTACGCGTATTTGACTTGATTTGAGTCGATTTTTTTCTTCCTGGCCTTTGTTAAGGGTTAATTTCCCTTGGTTGAATAAAAAAAACACAGAATCGAAAATAGAGGTAGGGATTAGAGTGGTTTGTCGATTGAAGTCCCCGAAAGGCTCAAGACTCTTGACAGCTTGACAGTTGCAGATTCTAAGATTACAAGTCACTGACACAAGCATATAGTGCTCTCTCGACGAAATTGTACTTGTCAAGTACCATGAGTTGTGAACGAAGGGGAGAATAGATTCAAGTAACAATCCTTGAGAGTGGGAGATTGCCAGTGACATCAACCCTTGACAGACTCTTCAAGTTCTCTCGACTCTACACTCTACGTACCCTCTGACGATTTCTTCGTATATAGTCTGTAAAATTTCAATTGTCGCTGCTTGCTTCCCAGAACTCCGAATTGCCGAACAGTGATGCTAATGCTCACGAAGAAGTCACTATAACACCGTAAACTCACGAATCCACTGGGTTTACCTCTCAACAATTCGCTAATTGATAGTCATGCTCGTCTCGATGAGAAAATCCTAGAGGAGATTTTCAATTATCTAAATTTCCCGCACCTTGTGTTCCATTGTTTAACATCAATCGATCGTTATTGCAATTGTGATTGTTCCTGCCAAGTGATTATTCGTCGAGATGAGTGGAACAATAATTGAAAATTTAAGCGGTAAAAAACTCTCGGTGCTCGTTGTGCTCCTCATAATCGCCCAAATAACGTGTTTTCTAATTGGGGGACTCGTTGGTGAGTAAGAATTTTTTTATTGCTCGAATGTCCGGTACATTAATATTTTTTCAGCTCCAAAACCAGCGACCAATCAGAATATCCTGGGGACACCTTGCAAAGATTCTAGAGTCAATGGATCGAGTCCGGATACGTCGAAATGGTATTATTCACGAGGAATTGGCGCTTGCAAACCTGAGGATATGCATCAGTTCGATGTTGACAGTCAGTACAAGGCCTTTCAAGTTGTCTACACGTTTCAAGTGAGATAAACTGTCATAAATAAGGAATCCAATTCAATACGATATACAATTCTTATCATACACATTGGTAATGTTTTATTTCATGAAGATGCCTCTACCGAGAAACAACATGATCCTGGACTACTCGAGATGGCAGCAGAATTTAATTGGAGTTCTGCAAGTGGAGAGCATTTATCACGATGAAATTCATTTAGCCTCAAAGATTCCGATGGTGTTGGATGCACGATTGGCATACAGGAACAAAGGAGACCCTGACGACGCCTGGAAGCTGTACGCAATCTCAAGAATCGAGAGATACCTTGAGTGCTCAATCGCCGACGAAATTGAACACTACAACTACAACTGTGGAATGATTCCACTGTTCGAGTTGGGCTCACTCTACCACGACTACTATCTCCTCAATATTCGTTTGCCCATGGAAAAAGCAGTGAACGAGGGCCTGGGACATATAACGGATTTGTCCTTGACAGTTATCAATCAGAACGGTGGCTTTACCAAAGTCTGGGTCAGTCTCAAGACAATCTTCTTTCCAATCGTCATTTGTTTCATGACATGGTACTGGAGACGAGTAAATTCAATGTCACGACCACCAGCTCTCCTGGAGTACATGCTCCTGGCGCTGGGCTCTGCTCTCACCTTCTTAAATCTACCCCTCGAGTACTTGACTCTCTCCTACGACATGCCATTCATGCTTTTACTCAGTGATATCAGACAGGGAGTTTTTTATGCTGTTCTACTCTCATTCTGGCTTGTCTTTGCTGGTGAACATCTCATGATTCAGGATGGCGATCAAAAGAATGGACTTAAATGCTACTGGCGACACTTAAGTGCTGTCGTCGTTGGGTGCCTGTCTCTCTTCGTGTTTGACATGTGTGAGCGTGGCGTACAGTTGAGAAATCCATTTTTCTCCATTTGGGTGACAAATATCGGCGCCAAGCTTGCATTATCCTTCATCATTCTCGCTGGAATATCCGCTGGACTGTACCTATTATTTCTCGCCTATATGATTCTCAAGGTCTTCAGGAACATCAACGTGAAACGATGTGCTCTTCCCAGCATGAGCTCGGCGAGACGTCTCCATTATGAAGGTGTAATCTATCGATTTAAATTTCTCATGATTGCAACATTGTTGTGTGCATCTCTGACTGTCGTTGGATTTATCCTGGGACAAGTAGCAGAGGGACAGTGGAAATGGGACGAGGAACTGGAGATAGAGACGACTTCTGCATTTTTTACTGGTGTTTATGGCATGTGGAATATTTATATTCTGGCTTTACTCTGTCTTTATGCACCGTCGCATAAAAAATGGCCTGTTGAACCCACCGATCAGGGACTCAGTGAGGAAATTGAATTTGCTAGATCGTCCAGTGAACCCAATGAGATGCTGTCGCTCACTGCATTTGCCAGAAAAACGGCCACCGAATAAATTAAATTTATTCATTCACTTATTTTCTCTCTTTTCAGTATCTTGACAATGGCGGAGTGTAAATCTTCATTCTGTTAATTACCAGCTGATGAAAATTTTGCATTAAACTTCAGATATTTGTACTCGCCATGAGCAATCAAATAGTCTTCTGAAATGATGAAGTGATTGTCATTTCAGCCCTCATTACTCGTAAGTTCAAAAGAGGTGATATATTACAGTAAGTTTTATTTATCTTATCGGAGTATCATTGCAACGCACAAATATGCAGGATCTTGGGGATAATTTCCCCGTATTTTAGGAGTTATAATGGTATGATTTTACGGACCAATAGGACTTCCTCGATGTGTGTGAAAATATTTAGGGTCATGTATTCATTAGAAGAAAATATTGAATTGATATTCTTCCATGTAAAATTTGTGACTGCTTTAGATTCATATTTTATGAGATACGAAATTTACTGACATTATTGTTAGTGCCGAGTATATTGCCATTCGTAGAAGACGCAGCTCCACAATATTCCGGATAAGTCATCATGTTTAGATAAAAGTGCTTGTCACGAAAGTAGAATAGTGCAATTACTATTTTTTATTTTTCGTTCTAGGTACTCGATTGAAATCGATATTGATGTTTCTATTATGTTGAAACGTTCATTGCAAGTATTTATGCAGACACCGACTTGTATTATTTTTTATAAAGTTTTCTCATGGTTTTTTGTCAGAAGTGTAAGGAAATAAATGACTGATTTTTTCACTTTTACGAGAGTTTTTCATGCGTTTCTTCCCCCAGCTCAAATTCACTGACCGATTACAATAATAACCCATTTGAATAAATAAATATTCCAGAAAAAATTATAAAACTTTTGATTTATTCTCTATAATTATGCAAGTAAACAAGCATTTTCTCAATTAAAAATATTCATCATTATTGCATCGGGGTTTGAAAATACTCTGCGGTAAGGGCCCTGTCTCATTTTCCTTCGACACAACAAAGGAATTACTCGTGACTCCATCCAGGAATCGGAAGAGATGGAAGCCAACCCCGTCCTGCAACCCCTGCCACTTGATCAAGCTGCTGACTCTCCTCAGGACTCAACTTCAGAATTGTATTGAGCACTGGAATAAGTCGACTCTTCTCATCCCCATTTTTCAAAGTGACAAATTTCATGATGACATTCTTGAGATATTCAAAATTGTTGGCATGATGCTCCCTCTCGACGCTTCTCTGTTGCCTCCGGATATCTTCCTTGAGCATCTGATTCATCTGATTGAGTTTAGCTACATCCCTCTCAGCATCTGCAAGTAATGCTGTGAGATGTTTGACTCGTCTCTCTGATAGTTCTAACTCCTGGCGATCGACTTTCAAAGGGAGTGCAGGACCACTGGATCTGGGAATATCATCGGACGAATTGAGAAGCTCCTCCAGAGGCATCAGAGAAGGTCTCCTCTGCTTCTCGGTGGACGAGCCACCGATTGTATACGACTCTACACTCTCAGAGCCCTCGCCATCCTCTCTCTCCAACAGGTACATATCATTCCTAGATGAATTCTCAGGATCACTTCTGAATTCTGAGTTTCTCTCTATTCTGGATAACTTCATGAGGTCAGAACGGAGTTTCTCCACCTCCAGATGATGTCTATCCTCCAGAGTGGAGATTTGTGTCTCGTAATGTCTCTTCAACCCCTCCTCTTTGTCCTCGAATTCCTCTTTAATCCTATCGACAACAGCCAGTTGCATTCTGTACTGTTCCCTCAGGGTGGAGTGATCCTGGCTGAGTCCTGAAAGTTTTTTCCCCAATTCCCTAGCGCTGTCTCTCACCGAGTCCCTCTCTTCCCTCACCAAACTCAAATCAGTGCTCAGTGACTTGATCTCGCCACCCCTCACCTCCAATTTCTCCTGCAACTGAGACAATTGACTCCTCAGGTGATTCAATTCTCCTTCGATCTCGCTGATACTCCGACCATTCAATCCAGACTCTTTGCTCTGACTCTGTTTATTTCTCAGAACACTCTGTGCACGTCTCTTATATCCCTCGAACTCACCCCTCAAGGCCTCGATGTCACTCTTCGAGTACTCGAGGTTCTCATTTAATCTCGTAATTTCGCACCTGAGAATCTCCACCTCTTGCACGTGATTTTTACCCTGAATTTCCATCTCTGAGACAAGTCGGCTCTTCTCTGCTGTGAAGACTGCTGATTCCTTTGATAATTTATCAGAGCTCAGCTTCACGATCTCCATTGCCTCCAGGAGACTCTCTTTCTCTTTCGTCATCTGGACAATTTCTTGCCTCAAATCGCACAATTCTGACTTCAAACTTTCGTTTTTATCGCTCAGGGTTGTCATTTGATTCGTTTTAGAGAAACACGAGGATCTCAATTCTGAGAGTTGATCTTCCAGAGTAACCAGAAGCTGGCGTTGTTCGTCTATTGTAAATTCCAGGGTCTTCGATCTTTCTGACTCGTCAATTAATTTCGATTTCAGGTCCTCGATGCTTTTCTGTGAACAGCAATTTCTTTATTCAGAATTTTCATTTGAAATTCATTTTTGTCAAATTATTTCGTTTACGCTCACCTCGTAATTATCCACCTCCAAGGACAGAACATTATTACTAGCTCGTTCTTGCTTCGCTGTTTCCAACAATCCCTTCGTTGTCTTATGAGCCTGAATTTCCGACTCTAATTGATTCTTAATGTCCTCGTAATCGCTCTCCCTCTGCTCCCTGATCATCACCTCCGCCCTCTTCTCATCCTCCAATTTCTTAATTGAGCTCTGATTTTTCTTGAAGATCGTCTTCAGCTCGGCCAACTCCCTCGTGCGATTATCCAGATCTGAATTGGTCTGTGCGACGATCTCCTTCTGATCGTAATGAGATTGCTTCAAGGTTGTATTCTCCAGGACCAAGGTCTCCAGATTTTTCGTTATCTTCTTGTTATCGGTCCTCTGCTCCTCCAGGGCGTCTTGGAGCCGATCATATTCCAGCTGAATAGTCTGCAACTTCTTGGCATTATCCGATATCTGCGAGATTTTCCTCTGTATCTCATCTTTCTCAGCAAGAGCTTTAAGCTTTTCGACTTCTGACGCTTTCAATTCCTCCGACAGATCATTCACTTTTTTCTTCAGCTTCACAGCAAATCCTTTCAGCTTATTGTACCGCTCCTCAAGGTCCTCTTTATTGGAATCTTTATTTCCTTTTGCAAAACCATCAGGAACGGAATTATTATCACTGTTTTTTTCAGTCTCCATTTCTCGTATCAGTAAAATAAATCAATCAGAATAATTCTGAATTTAACAGAAATTGTTGAAGTGATGGATCGTTCACGTGGCAATTTAGCATTATTCAAGAACCACTTGATGCAGCAATTGTTTATCGTTATTGTTCATCGTTTTTTAGTCATCACTGGGGAATTGGAGAATCAGCTGACACTTGAGGCGTAATCGGCAGTTGGTAGAGCAGATCCAGTGACAACCTTTCCTCCGTGATCCACATATTATTACATATCACGCATATTGCGTCAATCTCGGTGTTATTATCATCATCGGTGGGTGAAGGAAAGAGGGAAAAATATAAATAAAAATGAGAGATGTTGCGAGGTGAACAGCTGGTAGGCAGGAACTCGTCGGGGCCAATCAGAGGAACGGATCTGGCGCTGTTGCCATTTGCCATTCGATCATTTCAAAACGAGAGGTCATTATTATTTAACTGTTACGAAAAATAAAATTGCAAGAAGAATTCAGGAACGTTCCCATTCAAAATGGCAATTGTTTGTCATTTATTTTCAGGTGTAAATATGAAATTGAGCGAATGAGGTACAGAAAATAATTAATTAATAAGTCTGGAATATTCTGAATTTTCTCCTGAAAATTTTATATGAATCTATGGAAAGGAATCGTCTCAGGAAAAATCCGTTAATTCCGTAAACTCAATTTGTTTCATTTGTTACAAATTTAAGTAAACAGGAACTTTTAAAATAATTTTAACGTCAAATCTGGTGGAATTCCTGAGGGGATACGTCAGGCTTAATATAAAATATGTGAAAATACAGTTGAGAAATATGTAAGTGTGCTAATCAGTCATTGATAATTTTCAATAGCAGTCATAAAATTCTTTATTTACTGTTATTTTAGTTAACACGCACGACTCTGCGATTACAACGGAGTGACGAGTTTTATTTGTATATTCCATAACCGATGAATTTATCTCTCCATATTGAATCTGCTTTGTTGTGGAAGAAAAATGTCGTAAATAACTGGGAAAAGATATTCATTAAAAAATAGAAATTATTCAAAATTTCGAGCGCAGATTCGTAGAGAAATTGATACGTGAGAAGTCATTAGGAATTTGTTACGATAATTGACGTTTTCACCTGCAATTACATGTGCACGAGCTCATGTACTTTCGAGTTAATTCACCTCTCGTGTTGAGACTCCATAAAATGTATGATAAAATCTCAAAATCAATATTGATCTAATGCTGAAGAAAAATTCACAAATTAAATCAACCGAAAAAACAGGAGATAATAAAAAAATCGAATGAAGGAATGATGAAAATGAAAAATAAAAACGAAAATTAAATTCCATTCCACTATTTCCAAAAGCCTTCAAAATTCCCCCCGACCCCTTCGGTAAAATCGGCAACCCCGCGACCGTCATCCCCCCTTTCAAATAAAATCACTATGGAAACGGAACGACCGGGACGTGAAATTCTGCACCAGAAAATCCAATCCCCAATTCCCCTGCGTTCCTCAAATTCATTGCAAACGGTTTGTCAGCTGTTCAGTTCAATATGGAAATGGAATAATAGGATAGTCTGGCAGTGCCGTCAGTTCCGTGGAATAGTGACCATATACTCACCTCCCCCCACTGACAAAACCATTGCAAAATATTATTTTTCAGAAGCCCATATAAACCACACAATCCCAGCCCAAGTCCCATGATAAAAATCCAAAAAAAACTCAAGAGTGAACAAATTATATGCAAAATCTAGCGCGCAACGTGGATGTATTGACGCAAGGACTTAAATACAGTATATCTGGACTCATGAACCTCGCAAATCGAACAACTGAACCTCAGAGTGGTGCTTATTTCGTAAACTTCAATCAGGACTGCACGTATGTACATTCTCATTACAATAACAACCAATTCCACTCCTTAATTTCACGGAAAAAGCCACAACGTCAAACATTTGGGGGTCAGAAGCTCTCGATGTCATTGTCTTTGTTGTCAAGGATTGCACGAATCACTGCGAAGTTCATTCCCTTCTATTTAACCCATTTTCGTTATCCATTATTCTTCCTTTGTACCTTAACTCCTTAATCCCCCTGATCAATTAAAGCCATTACTTTCCATTTTTTTAATTAATTCGTTTTATTCGTTTTATTCGTTTTATTTGTTTTACTCCATTTCTGGGTGTTTTTCGTTGTGTCTCTTTTTTTTGTGGACGAACCCATTGATGACTTCGGAGTTCATTGGATAATGTCGCGGTTTTTGGTGTTGACGGACTGTTGGGGATGTTTTAATTGGGGATTCGTTGGGGTTTTATATATATTTTTTAATTATCTGAGTGGAAAATGATGTTGGCGTCACCCTCACTTGCAATGCGCGTCGCATCTCGCGCAACTGGTATACAATATATATTTCTCTCTTTGTTGCTCTAGGTTTGCTTATGTTTTCGTATTGTGCGTCATTCTACCTATTTCCTACCTATTTGTCCTCGTTATTTTGATGATCACTTGGTTTTCAGGGATTAATTAGGTATCGGGGGAATGGAGAGGGGATCTGTTGTGGACTTTCTAATGACCTTTTTATTCGGTTTTTTTTTTCTATGGGTTGAGGAGATTATGAGTGATTGCGTTTATGTTTTTACGCGTCTCTTTGGATCTTATGTAGTGCGATTGCCTCATGAGTCCTTGTCCAATCCCTCCAATCTGTGTCGCCGATCGTTTCTGTCCTCCAATTAATAATAATAATTTTTTTTTAAGGGTAAAGTGGAGTTCTGGGGGTCCATTGAGTCGTGTTTTTCATTTTTTATCGTCCTCAATGGGGAATAACTCGAAATTGGCAGAGTGAAATTTGATCATCTTTTTTTCATTTTGAAAAACCATTTTTAACCTTTGGAATGAAAAAAAAATCGTTTGATTTATTAATACTGATTTTATGTTATTGATGGTTGAAGACGGCGGACCATCTTTGTCGTGTCTCCCTTATGTCAGAGTTTACTGAATCTTTTGGGGGGTTTCGGGGGGTGAACTTCAGGGAGGACAAAAGAATAGGGAGTTGAATATCCACTAGGTCTTTGACCTTGTACGTCACTCTCATTTGAAGAATAGTTTAAATGGCGAAGAAGTGAAGGGAGATAAAACAGTCTCTATGAGATATCGATTCATCTCGAAAAATATCGATTTACGGGGAAAATGTTGAAGGACTTTTTAGTCGACGATTATATTTCCGAGAAAAACGGTCTTTTAACATTTTTTCGTAAAATCAATAGTTTTCCAAATAAATCAGTAATTAAGAGCAATAATCAATTCGATTCATTCTATTTAAATCCTTCATTGTTAAAATAGTTTTATTTTATTATTAATAAAATCGTTTATCGGATTTGTGATATCTTTCTCGTAATATTTGATCTCACGAATATATTCTACTGCCATTTAAACAGAGAATGGGAGTACTGTTCAGATAATGCGTGGGATTTATCCAAAAATGGACAAAGGTCGGGGTCAATGTAACTGAGTTATTTTTTTTCTGTTATATTTTGATTTTTTGGGGGTTTCAGATCGTTGGCCGTTGGATCAAAGTCCGGTTACAAGCTATTTTCACTCAATTCGGTTGACTATTTGGAGAAAATATTTGAAAATGGTGAGTTATTGGCTCTTGATTTTTTATTGCAAAAATACATTCATTTGGGGAGCTCAAGATTTTGGTTTTTGACGTGAAAAATTGATGTGCAGATTCCGAAGACATCTTCATCGTCGAGAGACTCTTCAGCAGCAGTCTTATGGCGGTTGTTAATTACTCATCCCCGAGGAAACTTAAAGTTTGTCATTTCAGGAAGGGAACGGAGATTTGCAACTACAGTTACTCAAACACTATTTTGGCTGTGAAACTTAATAGAGCGGTAATTTTATTGAATATTATTATTAATGCGGTGTTATCTTTGTAAATATGGATGTGGCACCATCCGAGGGTGATGAGAATTATCTCAATGGTAAATATTAATTTTCTTCGTGATTAACTCTGACTTTAATTCCCTAACGAGATGGGAAAATTAAATGCGTCGAAATAAAAAATTCTCTCGAGAATTTGATCG